CCCCCAGGCCATCAGCGGCAGCCCTGGCCAAGGTTGCAGAGGAAAACTGTGAGACTCCAGCCAGCTCGGAGGGGTACACACAAAGCCAAATAGTGCTGTCCTTTCACATTACAATGCTCATCCTTTATCCATTCAACAAACACTGCTGAGACACATAGCTGGGTGAAAGAAAACTCAGAATAAATCAACTTCCATTCCGGAAGCCACATAAGTAAAAGTTGATTCAGTAAAATCTCTTGTTCAAAAAACAAAAGCCAGCCAGGGATGACAAGAGAAAGAAACGTGGGCGCTCTCACTTAACAGGCTGCCATGTAGAAATTACTAATAAAATTTAGCAAAAGGTGCTCGGAAGACCTGCTCTGGAAGGAAGTCAGCTCCATGAGCCGGGGCCAGGCACAGATGGTGGTGCTGAGTGTGAGAGTTATACAAACCCATCATAAGGACCAGTAGGACCCTTCCAGTCAGACTTCTGCCTTCCTCTTCAATCCTGTCTCCTGATACGCCCTTCTTTCTCATACTGATGCTACAGTAGCAAACTGTGTGTCGATACACACCTGCACACACACATGCGCACACACACGGAGGAAGCTGCTTCTCACCTCAGTGCTTCTGCATCCCCACAGGAGCCCATGCTCAGCCTTCCCAAGTGTGCCTCAGTCTCCCCCCACCTGTCCCATTCAATTTCGAGTCTGTTTTCACCTTCACCCCTCTCCGTGTTGTAGCACAGGTTCCTCGTGTGCCTCCTGGCTGGACACCCTGAGCTGCACACATAAACCAACCCCCTCTTCCTCCTTCATGGAGGGTGTCTGTCCCCTCTCAAAGCTTGGCACTGTGTCCAGGAAGCTTGGTCTATGATCCAGGGCCCTCGGCATGCATCGTGGCCTTGGGAGCCACCACACTCACCTACTGCAGTCACCTCTTCTTCTAAAAGCTACTTACTTTTTTCTTTTTCTGTGGACACTTTTCCAAGTCTATGTACCTTCTGGAAAATAAAAGACAGCTTGGATGTAGGAGCTCAGCCCACCCAGACCATCTTCAGCTGTAGGCTGCACCCTGACCATTTGGGAACAGGCCTGGGAGGGGCCTGTTGGCCTCAGAGGACGGGGTCCCAGCTCAGGAGCATGCAGGGCCCGGGGAGGTCAGCTCTGCCTCCTTCCCGAGACTGCTGAAAGCTGCTTCTTGTGCATGAGGGTGGCAGGCGTACAGGTAATTTCCACCCTAAGGTTTCTACAGGATGCGGGTTGACTAACATTCTTCTAATCTCTGACACTTTCACAAACATGGTTTCTTCGAGCAGCTCACCCCGTAACCAGTGAAGCAGTGCCCTTCTCACTGCTGTGGCAAGGAAACCGAGTAGAAGGAAGTTCTACTCTGTGTTCCACACCCAACCATGCACAGAGGCGACACTGAAATCCATCCAACCTGACTGGTCCCCTCCAGCCACCCTCAGAGTCCCTGTGCTAGGTCCCCAGCCCCTTTTTTATTTTTTATTTTGAAACAGGGCCTTGCTAAGTCACTGAGTTTCCCGGGCTGGGCTGCAATTTGCAATCCTCCTGCCTCAGCCTCCCAGAGTGCTAGGATTACAGGCGTGCACCAAAACACCTTCGTGAGCTTTCTTTAAGGAAGTGGCACATGCAGTTCCTTCTTAGAACATTAGCCAGGGCTGGGAATGTAGCTCAGTGGTTCTTCCACCAGCCTCACAAGCACAAGGTCCTGAGTTTGATCCAGTACCAGGAAAAAAAAAAAAAAAAAAGAATGTTTAGCCAGATGAACCCACCCTTTACCTCCCAAGGACAGAGAGCAGGGAGCAGTTCTCTGAAGACTGGAGAACCAGAATCCTCGTGGGCATCGGGGAGGCCGTGCAGAACACAAATGTGAGACTCTTTGCCTCAAAGCAAACCCGTAAGGCATCGTTCTGCAGGGCTCTACAAGGGGAGCTAACCCTCCCCACAGTCAGTGCTTTCTTCCCAGGTGGCAGAACTGGAGGGCACAGGCTGTCCAGAGAAAGGATCCTGGTGCCATTCTCTGAGTAGTGAAATGGGGTCCCCCACCAACGCTGTCACCGTCACCATCCTTCTGTTCCCTGCTCTGTGCCCACAATCACACTCTGTGTCGTGCCCCAGTACCACTGAGAATCACGGCTTTCCCCCACTGGGAGCCTGACGCCCCACACTGACTTGTGTTTCTTCAGGTAAGGAAAAGCGAGTCCAGGTAAGGAGGCAGAGACCTGGGCTTTGTTTGCTGCGTGGGCCGGCGTAGCCAGTCCTGGGACCAGCTCTGGAGCTATTTCCCACATTTCCGCTCTTAATCCCTAGGACTCCCAGGTTCCACAGAAAGACAGCAGGGTCACCATGAGAAGGGACCCTCCTCGGGACTCCATCAAAGCAGGGTGGTTTGACTGTGTCTAATCTCTAAAATCTGAAGTGGAATTATACATAATTAGAGCATCACATTTCGCTACAGCAAAAATAACCAACAGTTATTTTTGCAATGGACATATTTTTAAGAGGTGTGTGGGTATAGGGGAGCAAAGTTCACCAAAACTCAGAAAGGGATGGTATAAAATGTACTCACTGCTGGGCATGGTGGCACACACCTGTAATCCCAACACTCGGGAGGCTGAGGCAGGAGGACTGCTGTGAGTTTGAGACCAGCCTGGGCTACAAAGTGAGCTCCAGGTCAGTCTCAATTACATAGCAAGACCCTGTCTCTAAAAACCAAAAATAAATAAATAAACAATAAATGAAAGGTACTCACTGTCGGACCTCACTGGGGACTCCGGGTGACCTCCAATACGGAAAGTGTTTGAACGTCTCCAGCCCTACGGCAACATAAAAATGATTGTCCTGCAAGTCCTTGGAGTCGTCCAAAAGATGTCCACTCATGGTAAACAACCTGCAAAGGCAGGAAGGACAGCGGGACACGGGTCAGGATCAGGAGCACAGGGCCACAGGGGTTCGTTGTCTGTGACACAGTTACTGTGGGAATGGCAGAGAAACACCTACTCCGTGCGGCACTCAAACCCACAGCAGCAGCTCTTCCTGGATACAAACACTTTCCACTTCAGGTTCTGGTTTTGTTTTATTTCTCTGCAGCACTGGGGATTGAACCCCAGGTAGCTACATCCCCATCCCTTTTAATTGTGTTTTTCTATTTTATTACCAGCTAAAGTGAATACAAGCTGGCTTATATTGTTAGTTAAAATTAACTGCATACCAACCAAGATCTTCATGTGTTCTGGAAAAGCTTGTAAACCCTTGTTCATGATTTTAAAACCCTGCACTCTGGGAGGCTGAGGCAGGAAGATCACGATTCCAGCCCAGCCTGGGCAACTACTTGAGTTAACTGTCTCGAATATTTTGTTGTAGAAAAGGAAAGCGAGCACAGGTTCCAAGGTGCAATGGCTTCACAGGGTGAGAGGATCTGCAGGGAGGGTGGCATGTGGCTGGGATTTCACCACATAAAGAGGGAAGAAAGCATCCAGGGATGCAGAAGGGGCGGGCACAAAAGAGCAGAACACAGGGGTCTGCCCATCGCGGGGGGAAATGCAGCCAGAGCAGGAGGATGCACAGGACAAGGGCAGGTGCAAGGAGACAGGCACCGCAGGGTGGTGTGACACAGAGGGAGGGGAGGCTCCGAGCAGGGCGAGGGTGTGACATGAGGTCACGAATCGGGGCAGCAAGTGCGTGGTAGAGAACGGGTGTGGGACATATGGGACAACTGCCACAGGTGAAGATGCCCCGAGGTGTCCTCAGGGGTCCCCAGATGGTGTGGAGCCAGGTGAAAGCAAGACGGCAGCCCCGCTGCAGCTGCCTCTCGCCCTAAGTCCAGGGCAGGGATGAGCATGTTGTGCCTCACATGTTCCAGTGGCACAGATGCAGGTGCTCCTGGGTCCACGGAGAGCCTCTACCTGAGACAGCCCCTGGCACTGGCCAGGACACTCAGTGGAGGATTCCACTGGAGTCCACTTCTCTCCCCTTCACAGCCTGGGGACATATGGGGACTCGGCCAGCTGGAGCAAGTGGCCCAGGAGCAAACCAGGACAGTGAGAAGGTGCAGGACTGAAGGACATCACACGGCTCCTGCAGTTTGAGCAGGGGGTCACCTGAAGCTCCAGGGCTCGGGCAGTGTAGACCAAGGAGAGACCCCACTGGCACAAGAGAGAACTCACATCAATGTGAAAATGTTACGAACAAAGGGGGAGATCACCTACATGAAATAAGAACAGGAAACCATGAAATGGAACACAGAGAAAGATTGATTTGAAACTAGAACAGTAGGTTCTGAAAATGGGAAGAGATAGAGGGACCGAGGAAAAGGAGAGAGGAGGGGAAGTGAAAAGAATTAAGATGTGTTATGTGCAGACACCAACTCCCCATGGTGAATGGAATGTTTGTGCACTACTATGCAAATGCATACTAGTAAAAATAAAAATTAAGAAAAAAACTCAAAAACTAGAATAGTAGAAACCACAATAATGAGATGGGTTTTGGAATAGACACAAGTAAGGAATAACCTACAACTTGGAAGATAAAACCTGGGAACTTCCTTAAAGGGAAACAGGGAAAAATTAAGAAATGGGATTTATAAGGAAAAGTTCAGCAACAAGAATGAGACGTGGCAACACCCGGATGACAAGAATCCACTGAGTTTTTCTAGGCTCACGGTGTCAGGGGATTCAGTCCATGGTCGTCTACCCCCAAGGCAGGAGCATCATGGCGGAAGGGCGTGGGGGAGCAGAGCTGCTCAGTTCATGGCGGCCAGGAAGCAAAGCAGTGGAACAGCACCAGAGAGGAAGGGGCAGGGTTCAGGTATAAACTCCCACCCAGACACACCCAGAAGCACACATTACTATTCCTCCAGGTGGTTCCCAAGCCAAACAAGTTGGCAAACTAAGTTTACCCAACACAGATGGTAAAAAAACTGAGAAAATATTTTCTGCTTTAAAGGCTGACGCCTTCCATTGGTGGGGATGCTGAGCTTGTCCTCTGGGCCAGGATCAGAGTGCAGAGGCAGGTCAGCCCCCTGCCAGTCCAGCAGAGACCCCCAGCAGTCCCTCTTGCCCTTATCAAGAACATTTTTAAATAAACTATTTTGTATCCATGTTTGATGGATGTCCTCATGCTGCATGCTCCCTTCCCTGAGCAGCTCAGTCCCTCCCTTTCCAGAGGCCCCCAGTCCATCTCACACAGCCTCCATCCAAGGTACCACACTGGATCACTAGGGGGACAGAGGATCTAGTGGACCACAGGTTCTGGGGGCCACCACACCCGTGGCTTTGGACATACAGGGCAGTTCTGGACTTGGCTGGCACGACTACAATCAGAGTTTACAACAGATGGTCCAGGAAGGAAATGCTCATAGACAAATTCAAAAACTACCCAGGTATGGGTGTCTCCTTACTTCCGCACGCCTCCAAGAGGGAAGACTTTTTCTCCGATCATGGCCAGCACGCTACTCCAATCTGACAGGCTGAATTTGGGTATGATAATTTTTATAGGTGGGCTAAACAATTTTCCATTTGTAAAAACACTGTAAGAATAAAAAGCAAAGCATTCATTAGAACCTATAAATGGGAGAGGAAAATACTGAAAACTCATAGAAAATGCACGTATTATTATAGAACCTCAAAAACATCGTGATGCACGGAACATCCCCCAATAATAGAGCCAGGCCCTGCAAAGGGTCCCAGCCAAGTGGCAGAGTGTCCGAAAGCTAATATAATGGGGGTGCTAGAAAGAGACTTTTTATACAACCTGAAGTGCCCAGATAAACGGAACACTACTTCTTTCAAAACATTCCTTCAACTACAGTGACAGGTAAAGAAAACTGCATCCATTTGGAAAACAAATGGGGAATTTATACCTTGAAAAGGACAGCCGTGCTTCCCTTTCCCATGGAGCCAAGGCAGACTCACAAAGGAAATCCAGTGGTACCTGGGTTTGTGAATTTAACTCTTTCCAAAATTCTGGTTCCAAACTGAATTGGATGAGAATTCAGTCAAATGTAATAGTTAGGATTTAATGTTGACTTTATGGGGAAATTTGATTTAGTTCTCATCCATTTCATTCTGCAATCTGAATTGTGGGAATAATTAAGTACATGGACCAAGGTACCATGGTAAATCCTATGTAAAGATAATTTCAAAAATTGGTTCTTCTCTTGTAAGAAGGCAGCTTCCCTGTGATCCTGGGGTAGGGGCTATTTTATTGCTTCTACTTGTCCTAGGCCCTTAAAGCGGTGCTCAGGAGATTTCCAAAACCTGATGCAAAGTGTTAATGAGACTGAGCTGCATTAACCCTGGCCACTTGGCAAACATTTCAAACTCTCATCACTTGGACTAAATTAAGGTAAAATGCACGGCAGATTTCCTTAAGCCTAAAAGGAACTCCTGATATCACTGACATCCCTCAGTGTTACGCACGCTCAACTTTACAATTCTGGCTTTTAATTCTTTTATATTATTATTTACTATCACTATGGTTTTATTAAGGGTCTTTTCCTTCAAATCTGAAAAACATCAGTCTTTTTTCAGAGTGAACATAAATTATAATTTGATGTGTTTCTCACAATAAAAAGAATCTTTTTTTTTCCTGCCAAAGCCCTGTATCAAAAGGAACTTCTGGTCAACCTGAGTCCTACCTCTTCCACTGCCTGAAATAAACCACAGGGAGAAATATGCTGTGTAACCTGTGGGTGGCCAATTCCTCAGTGCATGACCACTACCAGAGTAAGAAAGTGCTGCAATGTTTTCAACAACTCATCTCCCTAATTGGGTTGTGTCAAAAGTCTTTCTATAGATTATGGATAGTTATAAAGTAAATATTTAAGTGAAATCATCTTTACCTAAATATTTAAGATTTTAATGTACATTATCACACTGTTAAAAAAGAGGTACACTCATACGCTTACAGTGTACAAGGTGAATGAGTGTTTAAATGTTTAAAGATTTACTACAGACACCATTGATCTCCCTCCAAATCCTTCCTCTCACTTCAAATATATTTTATCCCATCATTCCTGACACCTTCTGCAGCAGCTCTGGAGTCCTTTTTCTGAGGGTCTTTACAAGGTGCGACCACAAACACAATGAGTGCTGCTGGCAAGCACCCTCCAACAGAAAATCAGCTCGTAAAAACATGACGTTGTAGCTGGGCGTGGTGGCGCATACCTGTAATCCCAGCACTCGGGAGACTGAGGCAGAAGAATCACTGTGAGTTCAAGACCAGCCTGGGCTACATAGTGAGTTCCAGGTCAGTCTCAACTACATATTGAGACCCTGTCTCAAAAACAAAAAAAAGACACTGTGTCCTCATCCACCTTAGTCACCTGATCTGGCACCATGTGACTCTGGCTCTTCTCTAAAGTCAAAATGACCAGGAGAGGGAATGTTTTGAATCCATTCAGGACAATGAGGCAACCAGGAGAGCATAGCTAAAGACTCTCAGAAAAGATGACTCCAGAACTGCTGCAGAAAGTGGCGAGGACAATGGGGTGAATGTCTTCAAAGCCAGGGGGAAGATTCTGAGGGTGATTGATGATAACAATGTGTCTTTTACTGTAATATTTTTTTTAATTTCTTCACTTCACCATATATTTTAATCACCCTTTATAGTTAAAAACTAGTAGACTTCCTGAAGGGCCTTCGGCAGTACAGATAGATGCAGTATAAGCAATCGATATGCTGAGCCAGTGGTCCTGCACCATGAGACTCTCCCCAGAGAAATGTGGACACAGGTATTTCTCAGGCAGTCACTTACAAAAACAAAGATCTAAAAGCCTAAATGTCTAAGCATGAAGGAATAGCTACATAAATTATGGCACAGCCATATAACAGTAAGTTATGCTGATATTCAAAATTGTTTGTGTTGAATTTATATTCATCAGGAGAACTGCCAAATATAATGAATTTAAAAAAATAAACAGCAGCAGGCTACTGAGAGAGCTCTGAAAGGAAACAGACTTGGAAGTAATCTGTCTTTTTTCTGAGGAGTGAGATAAACTGGTGATTTTTATTTTATTCTTTATTCATTTGTAGATTTCCATGTTTTTAGGGTAAGTATATGAAAATAGGGCCAGCCGCCAATGATCAAGCGCCAGGAGGTAGGCCGGCCCCGATCCACCGCGGGAAGGGGAACCACACCTGCTCCTGACCCAGCAGCCATCACTCAAGCTCCGGGAAGGTAGCCACATGGGCGGCCCTCAACCCCCATAAGCTAAGCCCACCCCCTGCACTCTCAGACCTCCTGACTGTGCAAGTCTTTGGACCCACTCTGCAAAGAAAGAGGTGGTCCTCAAGGGTATTTTTCTGAGTTCCCAACTTTGAACATCTTTAAAGAAAGGGCGGGGGAAACCTGTAATAGAACATTGCGGAGTTCAACCATTCAGAAGGATGGGGAACTCAATCTGGGTTCTTGCAGCCTGGGTCAGTCAGCGTCATGGGGTTCACCAATCAGCTAACTGAGATCAGGGGTCTTGCATCCTCGCTCTGTCTGAGCCATTAAATGGTAAATATATTATATTGAAAAGTTTGTTCACTGCAGACATGTTCTGGACTGCTTCTTGATTTCAATTTAATTCAAATGATTTAAGGGTGATAGACTAGTGACTACCACAGGTGGTCAGTGTCCAAGTTGTGCTTGATCTTAATGTGTTGCTGATTGTATCAGTTGGGGTAAAGCATTGCCGTTGAATTGATGAGCTGTTTTCTCTGATGTTATGAAGATGAGAATGTCCGTGGGTCATTAGAGACACAGAAGCTAGGGTGCAACTATATCAGGAAGATTTGGGTGATAA